ATTTATTTGGCAATTATTCAACGTTTTTACTAAAGCTGTGTTGGCTCACGAGCTAACGAGCTTGACATTTAGGATTTTTATTTGGATGGTTGATGACTAGCCATGAGTCCCCGCTTACGGCAGGGTGGCGTGAGCTACCTCCATTGAAGCCATTCATTGGATGCCCGAGTGCGTGGGCTTTTATGTGGTTCCTGCCTTTTTTCTCTGATTTCTGTGAAGGGCCCAGGATAACTTAGCATACGGTATGCTCTACTGATTAATTCCTTATAAAAGTTTTCTGTTGGTAGCATCGTTTAGAGCTCGTGGGGTTACAGTTTACATCCATGTCCCAGACCTATCAATTCGCTAGAGCTAGAGGTATGTCAAGTGGTCCGGGGCTTGGTAGACCTTGACATTTCGCATGTTCGGATTTTTCTCGAATAAAGGGTACCAGAAACCTTGGCTCTGGATACCAGGGTTTTTGATAACTTCTGTCGAACAAATTTGAAGTCGATCGCAGCATAACAATCTGAAAGCCCTTTCAAGAGCAATATGTTTCTAGTAGAGGGTTTTGATAGCGATCAGCTGTTTCCAATCACCCTTCAGGCAAGCTCCTGAGAACACCACGGGAGTGTTTCTATCACAGAAAGAGCTTTTCCTCTGATTGCCCTTCTTCTATGTCATTTTCCAATGAACACTAGCCACGCTAGCTTGTAGGCATAAATTGGAAATTGATTTCGGTCATTCGTTCGGACCATCCAGTTCTCGATGAGAAAATGAATTATTTGCGGTTGTAAAGACTGAAAGCGCTTTTCAAAATTGGCCCGTTCAGTGCAAGCCTTGAATTTTTCATGAATATTCTGGTGCAAAGTTCAGGCCCCCCTTTCTTCGTATTGTATCCGTGCCTCTTCCCTTTTCAAACACCTCATATTTATGCATTATTACCTAATCACCAAAAAGTTGTGATACTACCCGTAACCTGAGTTTCGTGTAGCATGGAGTGGATCAGTTTGCGGTTTGCGTCAGCAGCTTCGCCGGTTTGACGCCATCCATTTTTGTGGGTGGTACCGGATGCTTTCGAAAAAAANAAAAAAAGTTCGGCGAAGTCGGTAATGGTGAAAGTGAGGCGTTGAGGAGCCTATATTCAGCCTTTTTGGAGCAAACTATACTTGTGCTTTACTCCGTCCATGTTGGCAAGATATAGGGTAAAGCAAAATTGCGGTGTAGAGGAATTCGCGTTGCACAGTACTGCCATAGCAAGCGTATAACCTCACTCTTCGCGTGTTGCACTCTTTCTGTTTTATAGTTTTTCTTAGACGGATAATGTTCTGTTATATTATATTGTGTATAATCATGGAGGACAGGGGCTGGGGTGCACTATCTCCCACACACATGGTCCGGGAATCGAATCTGGGAGCGCTACTCGCACAGGCCAACTAAACCGCCCATTGCTTTGGGATCGGATCGGTTAATTGGTATCAGATTCGTCTGGGAGAATAAAAGCTCTGCCTTGTACGTTGGTTGGCCAACGCAATACATTGTATAGGCAACATACGCATCCCAACCGTCATTTAGATTCTGAATAGAAGTGAAATGCTGAGGCGCGTCCCAAAACGCGGGATTGATTAACGAATCATTCGATTCAAGGAGATCTTGATCTTGTTCGCCTATGTGACAGGCTGAAAAGTGTTTTGCATTTACTAAAAAAGAAAGAAAAGGAGACTGAATGAGCAATGGAGCGAAAGCTTCTGATGTTTTTATAATAGCAGGCTTCCCATGAAAATAACCATACTAGCGACTACCATATTGTGGAAAATTGTAGGTTAATCGAATGAAGAGAAGTAGGGTTGGTGAACCGCAGTGGCACAGTCTAAGTTCATGGTCCTACCCTCTGAATCCATCCAGTTGGCCCATCCCTCTCAGTAGAGGTGAGACCTCGAGCCTGTTCGGAGGAATCAAACTTGGGCCATTCTTTGTATGAGCCTGACGGTTTTAACGACAAGTCAGAAAGTCCCATTTGAGGACACCCCGCATTTGACTTCCTTCCAGGATCATACCGTTGTTTGAATGTGTTTCGGCCTCCATATATGCAAAGTGATGTGAATTTCGGGACTTGCATCCTCCCAAATGATAGAATGACTCGTGGAATAGGTCTATGCGAGTCATTTTACTTTATTATGTACAAGTATTTTACTGCAATGCCGTACGATCAAATGACCTTAGCGGATGGACAATTTCCAAGCCCAAGCGAATGTTGTTGAGTTGAAACTCCAACTTCTGAGTGTTTCAGTTAGTTTCATGCGAGGGGGTGAAAGACTAGCTGCAAATGGACGTCTAGAACGAGCATGTCACTATTTTGCGTACGCAGTGGTCTCGAAGACATCTTTCATCCCGGGTCAAACTTGTCGGGCATACACTCTCTAAATCTTTCCGCCAACATATAACATAGCTGCAACATTTTTTGTCGATTTTTGCAAAAAAGTACTAGTAAACTAATAATTACTACTATTTTGGTGCAGCTTCAATCCAATAGGTAATGTATAGTCCAGATCCAGAACTTCAAAAAAGGTTTCTGCTCGGAGAATACCTGATCAAGGTGCCCAACGGTTCTTTATGCTTTGCTCATTATTTTCATATCGGCAGATATAATATGATTAGTTTCTCGGGTGTTACTTGTTAAAAAAGTGTTTCTGTACTAGTTGCCTATCACTAAATAGTACACTTTTGAGTGACTTTTCCATTAGTGCATAGGCTAGTCGCTTCTAATTTCCGTTCATGGAAAGTGTAGATCTAGAAGGGTTTCGTCTCGGTGTTACATTTCGTGGAAAACCTTCTGACCAGCAGAATCCTCGAACTTTCTTCGAACACCCTTTTTTTGAATATTTTTTTTCTCAATCAGGCTTGTCAGCATGTATTCACTGCAATGTTTATATGCAGAAGTAACACTTAGTATAGCAGCTATGTAGCTACTAATAATGAGCGATTTTGTTCATATTACCAGTTTCTAGACTCCCAAAGAGTGCTTGATGCTTCGTAGTTTTTGTTATTTGTTGCTGTAGACGCTGCTCGGTGTGCTGTCAGTATTATCAGAAACTCGACGAATTATGGGTAGCGCTAGAGACCAGTGTAGGACCCATACTCTAAGCCTGTCGAGACCTTCCATAGCTAGCTCCTGAAGCAGCATCAGACGGATGTCGTGTAGTGGATTGGGGAAACGGAGATGATAGTGGAGAGGGAAGATGTCAGTTCCAGAAGAACTTACCTTACTGGCGGTTGGCTTGACTGGAACGGAGAAATTCCTTATTCTAGCTACTACATTCTTCCCCTTTTCTTAGTCTTTCTCGAGCGTTCTTTTTCGGAAGCCAGCGAGACAAACAAAGTTGTACCATGGTTTTGTTGTTGTCCTGTTTTTTACTGAACTCCTGTGGAAAGGGTAACACGACTCTTGTATAGAATGTCATACACGACTATTTTTGTCTAACCCTCGCCTTAATGACTTGGTCCCCACCTTTCACGAACATCTCAAAGGGCATAGATGATGGAACCCTGTGTGTATAGTAGGGTCAGCACGATTTGTTCTGCGGGCTGGATATTTGAGTAAGTAACCCTGTGAGGCCTCAGCTTTCTCAGCTCTCATCGTGGAAGAGCAATCAGGTTTACTCCAACAAAGTGATCTTATTATTCAGGACAGGTTGGAGGGCTATAAGAAGCGTTGGTCAAGTTGGTCATTCTCTTGGTGATGGTGCTAGAATTATCAACTATCATTTGATATTCTGCCATATTACATAAAGTTTATGCTGTCTAGTAAGGCCATTACCGAAGGTAACCGCTTTGCGACCGCTCGCTTCAGTAACACCTATGCGTCCACCTAAGCTTGATCGTTATAACCTTGTATTTTTCAGTGACTCGATTAATATAGTCTGATATCGAGGCAAACCCCTCGATGCTTTGCCTATAGCTAATTTTCGAGAGTCTTGAATGCTTATTTTCGGAGTTCACCTGCAATGAGTGATTTGAGGGATTGGAGGGAACGCTGAAATAGTTCTCATGAAAGAAAACTAGCATGAATATGGCGTGAATCTTTGCTAATGTTAGTCATTTGTTTCTGTTAGATGCTCTGGGGTTTCGTTCAGTGCATCAGTAAGGCTCTACGCTTCGAGATGGCTTAATCACTGGGGAATACCACTTGAAAAATGGCGATCTGTTGGCGCACTGGGGCTGAATAGGTGTCCAGTGGCTCGATGTGAATAGAAAGCACATAAATTTACATATGATCGAAATTCTCCAAGTTCATTGATATATGTTGTCTGAGATCGACATCACTATATCACAAGTACATTAAAGTAAAGTAACAAGCAGCGTGGTAGTTCCGAGGAGTGGCTGTGGAACACAGGTATCAAGCTACCTTAATTATGAGTATTAAAATTTACTGGGCAAAAAGTGCCTGGCTCAATCTTGGCTTCAAAATCAGGGAAATGTCCTTCAAGGTCAGGCTTTTTCGATCATTTGCCGTATTATATCCTCATTCATAGACGGAACATAATCGTGCAATAATCTTCAATCAAAATGCCCATTCAATTCAGTCATCTAGTCAAACCAGTAATAGTACCAGTTTTTTACGGGGCTCAGAGCAAGGGCATATCTCAAGAATCGGAAAAAAATCGTGTGTAACATCTGAATTCTTGAAATTTTAATTTCTGAGCCTTTAATCTGCAAAAGTCAGTGTACTCCTGTCTTGTCTTTACTTTACTTTTAACTCTTTTGAGTTATCTAGTCTATGTCTATGCTCCCTTTTAGTTTACCCTTGTTCTTCCGTTTCTTTGAAAATTGACAGCCGTTCAATTTATAAAAGTTACTTGTTTAACGGCTGTCAGCCTGGTTGTCTACCCTATTTGTTGCCATCGAGTCTGAAACAGAAAATACTTTGTCTACTGTCTTTGTCGTTTGGCATCTTGGCTTTTTTCTAGCTACTTACTAAATCACACCGTTACAGGTAATAAAAGACTGGTAAGGACGTGGTGATGGTGTTACCAGTTGGTGCGCCGAATCCTTTGATCAGTCAACGTCCTGTAACACTTCGACCTAGGCCAGTACCGGTACCACAAGGTGAACGTGTCGCTGGTACTGCTGCATTACCGGTTCTGCCCGCTCCGCTGATCGTCCAACATGTGGCTCAAAACCAACACGTTGAGGTGCAGCTCGGTCTTGCACCCACTGGAGGAGGCGGATTTTTCGCATCGGTACGTGCTTGCCAATTAACATTCCTTTGCTCATCTGGTCTCTTTTCCTCCTTTTCACAGTTTTTCGGATCTACCGCTGTTGACTTTTATTACCAAACTATTCAGCTTCTTATGTAGCTCGCTTTTGAATTTCAAACTACGTACAATCATTTTAATTATCAGAAAAACCAATAATTCATCATGTTCCGTACCGCCGTATCCAATGGAGGCGCAGTTTATACTTGCTTCTGAATAATCGATCGACTTCTCGCCTAATTTGGGGTCTTCGAAAGAGTGGCCTGGGTATTTGAGCAGGGTGTTCTTGTCGACTCTTTCTTTCACTGCGCTCAATGTTGAGTGCAGAGACTCAATTACTTTTTTGTCAAAATTTTTGNTGCAGCTCGGTCTTGCACCCACTGGAGGAGGCGGATTTTTCGCATCGGTACGTGCTTGCCAATTAACATTCCTTTGCTCATCTGGTCTCTTTTCCTCCTTTTCACATTTTTTCGAATCTACAGCGGTTGACTTTTATTATCGAAATATTCAGCTTCTGATAAAGCACGTTTTTGAATTTCGAACTATATACGGTCATTTTAATTGACAGAAAAAACGATAATTTATCATGTTCCGTACCGCCAATGGAGACGCAGTTTATACTTGCTTCTAAATAATCGATTGAGTTATCGCCTGATTTGGAATCTCCGAAACAGTGGTATGGGTGTTTCTAGCAGGGTGTTCTTGTCGACTCTTTCTCTCACTGCGTTCGAAGCTGAGTGCATAGACTCAATTACTTTTTTGTCAAAATTTTTGCCGAAAGATTGAAGAAAATAAGGCCCCGGTGTTATTGAGGGAAACGCTTGATATTTTTTGTAACTCATTTTCATATTTAGGGCTCCCTGAACCACCGTTTTTATATGTGTTAGAGAAAACTTGTTGTCATTCAATTAAGCATATTTACTCGTGACTGGTTATTTGCAAAGAGTTTGTATACCCAGTTTTTTACTCTTCTATATGCTTTATAAAGTTTATGAAGTTATGCGTCGCCGCTTATTCCTATTTTTCGCATATTTTTCTCATACATGCTATTTATAGCTGTTATGAGACAACAACCACTTAGTATTGTAATTAGTTATTGATACCAACTACTATTGCGGTACTGCATCAGATGAGTTATTGCTGTAACAATACAATTGTATATTTGTACCCTGAATTACTGCAACATACTTGTTAGTCATTTTGCCTTGTTGTCTCTTGCTAGCGCTGTTTATTCGCTGCAGCATGAGATTCGGAAGTACGAAGCGGAGTTCAAGCCGGGTCACGATAGTATAGAGGGTAGGAGCGTAGTGCCTTCAAAGCACAGCACAAGTACAGTCTCCAGTCCAGCGGAGGCTAAATGTTCTACCATTCACTCAACAACCTTCTGAATACTAGTTCTTACTACTCGAAGGCTTACTAGATTAGAATCTCCCAAGCTTACTCCTTCTTATTTGTGTCAATGTGTTTTAGTTGGTTCTCATGAAACAGGGATTTTGGGATTTTCCTAAAAACGGCTCTTTCATTTTTCACAGCTACATCTCTTTTTCGCATTCGGAATGAACGTTTCATTTATGATGACCTTTTGAAGGCTGGTCAAAAGGGCCATTTAGATAACTAGTATATTACTCTGCATCTGCCTGGCTGGCAGTGTCCTGGCCCAGCTGAAAAATCTAGTCCTACTACTATGGAACCCGTTCACAATAACTCATAGTGCCAAAGTTTCATTTACCTTGGCCATCTTCCATTTACCAGTATCAGATAAATTATTTGCTGTTACACTTTTGTATCAAGCAGTATGGCAGGTAGACACAGCAATCAGAAACTTCAGGTAGGGCTTACGTATTTTGAAGTTGTGTAACTCTCAAGTTCTAGTTACAGCCTGTTCCAATAGGAACCCACACAGGTTCCTAATTGCTTCTATTTATTAATCTCTAAATTTAAATAATTTTTCTCTCACATTTATTTGCAAATGTTTTTTATCGCAGTTTTCTTTCATGTAGTAATTTTGCAGGAACTTACGATCCCAAATTTGAAAAAAAACTGAAGTGTTCCACGTGTAGTTTTAGGCGATCAATTCAGTAACCTTTTGAAATTTATTGATCGCTCCTGTAAGGGAAAATACGATCGATTTTTTTATGCAGAATTGCAACGGAATTCCCTACCATTAGCTCTCCCAACGTGCAAAGCGCCTGCTGTCGGCTTTAGTTCACCCTGTTCAGAAAGCTGAGACCACGTTTACATCGCACCCTTTACTTTTCAGCTCATATTACTTGTTTGAATGGAGAAAAAATCAACTTCCCTTGTTGCAAAGCGTTACTAGTAAAGTGTTGATGCTAAAAATACTTTCGTAGCGTTCTTGTTTTGTAATAATAAATCATAGAAAGAAAAGTAATTATAGTTTTTCCAATCTAATGTTACAACAATATTCATGTTCTCCGAGGCTTATTGCATAAGCGATCAGTCATTCTGACAGGCTATTTACAATTTAGTTGCTGTAAAAGCAGTTTTTCTCGAATCTTTCTGGTATGTCATAATACTTAAGTATTCACAAGTATAAAGCAGGGCACCAGGATAATAAAATGGCTCGAATTATTCCGGAGAAGACCGAAAACAATAGATTTTCTAATTTTCCTCTAATTCTAGGATAAACAAGGTTATGGTGCAATCAAATGATCAGGTATTTTAGGCCTGTTGATTATTTCCTCATGATTTTTTTGATTATTGATTGGGAATACCGGGATAAATCCTATTTTTGCCCATCATTGTCCTTATAGAATCCCTCTCTTCTCATAATCTTATGTCAAATTCCTTTTTTCCAAAAAATAAACTCCGAAAACGTATGTTTTAATAGTACTTTTTTAATAGTACTGGAGAGCCTATTAGAGCATAAGTGCATCATCCAATCAGAGACACGTGCAAACAGTGCCTCTGATTGGTGGATTGTCTACGGCAACGAATCACATCCGTTTCGTATGCTCTAGCAGAAAATTCGAAATATGTTTATAGTTTCGAGGAAGTCGTACATAATCTAATTGTCCTTTTCACGTGGTGACCCAACACTACGAACAAGTTCAGTACATCACGTGTAGTAGGGCTTCACCCACACAAAGCCATGCCACGTACAGATTCACCTTTTTGTTTTCCCTCACAGACTATGTGCAAATTAACTCAAGAGGAAATTGCCTGACATTCTTATGGAGGAATAGAAAAATAGAAACATAAATAATTAGAATTCCTCGCCCTCTGCATACATGACACGAGTTTTTATGGTGCTGAGTTTCACTCATAACATAGTCTCGCCTTTCAGCTAGACAGAAGTCGATATTGAAGTTTCCTCAAGGAATTATTACTTGTAATGTACTCCTTCCACCGATACCATTACTGTTGGAGATCTTTCATGTGAATAATAGTTATTACTCTGTAATACTTACATATTGTTCGCCGTTGGCTTGGCCTTTTTATACATTATCTTTTTAAAAAGCATTTTAACTTCTTGTTTCGAAATTTTTTCAAAATGCTCTTTGCGAATACTACAATTAAATTAAGCAGAATAATTATTTTTGAAATCTAATTTCTGAGGTGAGCGCATTCCTAAGGTCAAACTCATAACATCAAGCGATGGCTCTCCCAGAGTACTACCTTTTGGTGAGTTTCCTTACTTCTGAATCTTAGGGTTTTTTAGGGAATATTCCAAAAAGGCTTTCCTCTAGAGTCATCGACTTCCTCAGCTGCTGCTCGTGAAACTAAGCGAAAATATTGACTGCCATTAGTTATAGGAGTCAGTTCTTCTCGTTTAACATCTTCGTTTTATCCTTCAAAAAAGTAAAAAAACACACACTAGCAGATTGAGCTTGAGCCGCAACTTTGGGGTGTTGGAGCAGCTGCTACTCGATTATGCGAGGTACTATTTTAGTCCCCTCCTTACTTTGGCAACCGCGAAAATTTTCTTGACCAACGTAATCAATGAAATCGATACTTTTGACGACCATCTCTCAATGATAAATTCAGTTCATCACCTTTCCAGGATTTCTAGCCAATCCCTTCCAGTTGGTGTAGTCACCATAAGCGTTAAACTAGTTCAAAAAATTTAGCTACATTTGAGCGAGAGGCAGTATGATTTAAAGCGTGCCGATCGATATTCGTGCACACCTATGAGAAAGGCTCTGCTAATGTGTTGGCGATGCTTTAATTACTGCTCAGTTCTTTCTCAATTTTCATGAAAACTGAAGTGGTGGGCTGTGACATTTTAGGCCACTTCGAATTATCATAAATATTCGTAACTATTTTTTGTTACAAATAATCTTGATGTGAATCTTGATCGTAGCCTGAGGGAAGTTGGGATGCTGTTTCCGGTGTTCCATGTTTCGTTCAAGAAAAGAACATCTGAAACGCCATCGCAACAAAAAGAAACAAACCCCAGAGGAGTAATTATTACTCGAAAGGGTTCATTTTTGTTCATAAACAAACGCCTCGTCACCAGTTTTAAGGCCAAGCACCAGCGAGGTCAAGCCCACCCATAGATATAACTCTTCTAATTGATATTGACTTTACAAAATGCCTGGCTCTTTAAAAAAAAGTTCATGGGGGCAAAACAGGTTCAATAGGGAGTCAGCCAAGTGTCACGAGGGTAAGTCCATGATATCATTGTCGAATGTCCGTTTCACGTTCGGTCAATACAATGTTGTGAACGGAATTTCTCGAAAATAATACGTTTTCCGTTGGAAATAATCGTTTTTTCATCCTTCTCTCAAAGTGTTGCTGCTGTGTCACACTTTGTATAATACAATTACTTCTCAGTATGGGAGCTGTCTCGGAGCCCAATCAGGATTCAAATGTTTTACAGCACAAAGAAGCACCACGAAATAAGATTTGGAGCCGTTGTCGTAAGGCTAGTTTTTGTTGAGCTGAGCCAGACCCAAAGCTTGGCCAAGGTGTCAAGCATCCTAGATCAATCGTGCCTTTGTCTGTGACTTTCAGAATACTTGTAAACCTCTTAAGATCTTATTTGAGTCGTCTTAGATCCCTCACTACGCCGTGAATCTGGTATTCATCAACTTTCGAAACTGAAACGTCTTTTTTCTCTGGGTTCTTCTCAGACTGGATTCATTTTCAGGCAGTTCTACTGCTGTTCATTATAGTAATTAGTGATATGTAATTTGATAGGCGTCTTGCTCTTCATCATGAGACTGAGCCTAATTTACTACTCTCGGAGCAGTTATGATTCT